TTGAGAAAACACACCATTTGATTTCCATTCATTTTTTGTTTTTTCTACGTTATGCTTTGAACCATTTTATTCTTGGGTTTTCTGTAATGCTGAGTTTTGTGAAAGCTTGACATGTTCTACACTTTCGAGCCACCACAAAATATTTTTCTCCCCCCTTGACCTTTTTCAACTGTCATTTCAACAAGGATCACATGAATAAACCTGCCAGGGATCTCTGAACAGTTTCTAAATAAACTCATAATCTAAACAATGATGGTGCCATGTGATGACATACAAAGGGTGACGAAGGTCATAATGAAGATCTGGGTTCCAGAACCAAGGAAAACCGACAGCAGCATCCCCTTCCTGGGAGGTCGGAAAACATCTCCATGTACCAACTTCCATCCAAACTCCTCCTGTGCATCCTCCTGGAGAACAAGACAGAAGAGAATACGGGATGACAATGAAACAGCTTGACCCCTATTTCAACTAGAGAGCTAGCTTACAGCTCAGTTTCATGTGATAGAAAAGACGGTTTACAGCAATGATAAGCTAACTTTCCTTGAACTATGAACAGCTCAACCTCAGCTCCACATCGACAGGTACTCACCACAGAGTCCATCTGATTGTATCTGGCAATATCTTTATGCAGAGTCCTCAGCATGATCATTGCTACCATTCCAGACAGGAACAACACAATCACCAACGAGTTCATTATGCTGGAAGGAAGAGAAGCAATTCAATAAGATCATTTCTGATGTTGTATCAGCATCAACAAGTCAGCTGAGAGACACCAGGGTTGATCAGAGGTCGAAATTAAGGTGGAACCTGTCAGTGTGTGTGTGTGTGTGTGTGTGTGTGTGTGTGTGTGTGTGTGTGTGTGTGTGTGTGTGTGTGTGTGTGCGCGTGTGTGTGTGTGTGTTTCTATTTGAGTCTCACCTGAACCACTGGATGTTGGTGTGAGGCATTGACTCCAGGATGTAGTCCCATCTAGATGCCCAGCGAATGTTCTTGTCTTCCTACACAAACACACACGCACACACACTACAATCAAATCAGCCTAACACCTACATGTCTATAATATACGATCTGCTGAAAGATGGGTTTTTTTATATACAGAGCATTAACAGTGACACTGCAGGATCACAATCCCCTGCATGTGCTTGTATCAAAGCTAGTCTTCCCACTTTGACTTAATGACTAGGACTCTTCTTTGTTTTGAGTGAGGTGGTGTGAACTGGTATTTCTCTCAGGTTCTTACCTGTGCTCATCTAATATCATAGTCTCCATGCTACAGTATAGGCTGTGGCAGTGCCACTGCACCAAAACTTTATATAGGTGTCTCACAGCTGCATCCATCAGTTGCCTACCTCAGGGCACCAAAAGTCTTTTGGTCAATTTATCTGGTAAAATAACACAAACCTCTTTATTGTCTATCCACTAATATTTTATGTTCTTCAACCTAAGATGTGATCACACAGATAAAAAAAGTTGTATTCTCATTACAACATTCATGCCAGTGAAATATAAGGGTTGGAGGTAAACCAGTATCAATCATTGTGATTATCATTTGATTTTTCTCAACTGTGGTCCTTGTGCTTATTCAGTATATCTTGTAGCAAATTCAAAGTAAATAACATAATCGCTTTATTTGCAATCAGCCGCAAAACACAGGTAGAGGCTGTGTGGCTGAGATGACATTGTATTAGAGACATGATAGAATTGCACTAACCTCAAACTTGACAGAGTAGGTATATGGGATATTAAACGCTCCTGAGTGTTTGTTTTTCAGGAACTTTGGCCCTCCAGAACAATCAGGACTGTCATCATTAGGGTTTTCATAACTGCAAAGAGAGAGAGGGAGACAAAGGGAAAAAGGTGTCCGATAAGTAAGTCAGTGGTTTCATTGGCATATCGAGATCTAATCCCAATGCAGGCAGAGCTTATTCAATAGGGATGTCATTTAATACATATCTTTACTAGATAACCCAATATTAGCTCAAACTGTCATTCATTACCTCTTGGGTTCAATCTTGGCAGCAACCAACCGGGCTCCGAGTTCTTCATGCTCAACGACATGGTAATGGATGGTGATGTCCACATGGTTAAAGATGTAAAATGCATCCTTTTCTTTAAAGTTAGACTGGAAAACAAAACCGAGACACAAAAGTTATCATCGTCATATAAAATTACACACACCTAAATGCAATGCTCCCTTTACAAATCACGATCCACCTGGAAATGTGCATAGCTGGATCTGCTTTATACTACTACTAGCGCAACTTTTCTGGCACAATAATCGAGGGGGTTGTTTATGATGAAGTGGATCTATATTGCAGCTTCAATTCACCACCTCACATCTACATCAACTCTTTCCATGCATGGGCCAGAGTTTTTATAAATCCAAACTTTTGCAGTAGAAGTGGTGCACGCATCCATCAGAATCCGTTTGGGGGCTATGACAACAATTGTGAAATGATATTTGGGTTTGGCTATGGTTTGGTCACACTGGTTGGGCCATCCACTTAATTGTTTTTATGCTGCAGGTGCCTGTAAGTGGGGAAACCATCGGGCTTGGGTCTGGTTCGGACAAAAAAAAAAAAGGGAATGCCTGTCGGGTTCTTGTCAGCTAATTTTCTTTTGGTTTCGTTCGGGTTTGGATAGAAAATTGCGGCAAGAGCTGCACTCTAGTTTTACATACAGTGAAGTATTTGTGGCCACATTATTAATACTATAGCCGAAACACGATCATCTATTTTTTCTATTTAGATTTATAAACTCTTATTTCATAGTAGTACTGTTTACAGGACATTGATTTGCTCAGCCCTGGAGCCTGACTCCTCTCCCTCCCTCACTCCCTCATATTCACAACTGACCAATCTGTATAGTAAGACAAACAGTGTAATCTGATCTTGGTAAATAGAAATAATGTGTTTATTTAAATATAGAGCAGGGGAGTGAGATCTAATCCGTGGTCACTAGAGACACATTCAGGACTCAATCTCATGCAAGATGTGAAGTGATGAACTCAAAGCTGTCCATTTGTGATTGGATCACCAATGACAGATGTTACAGATTGTGAACAAGGCTATGTGTAGAATAAGAACCTGTCTGACTATGAGGACTGAAACTAGTAATAGTTACAAAGAAGATACTGAGGCCGGTATTGATGGAAGCTGCTGACTCCAGTTCTAGTCTCTGGCAAATTTAACCAACAGACACAATCAGAGTTTAATCAGATGAAGTTCATCAGGGTTAGCATGTTGTTTAATAAACACTCTGATGTGACAGTGTGTTGTCACAGTGTGTTGTATCAGTAGCTCTGTGAACATTTTCTATACATTTCTGAATCACATGAATAAATGACCTTCTCTAAATATGTCTGTAATTAGGACTGATTTAAGTATTCTTTTGTTTTTGGAACTACACATCACTTATTGTGACATTAATGTGACCAAAGGCTTTGTTTATGTTCCAGTGTGACCTACTTACATTGACCACACAGGCATCTTTGGAATGACCGGCTTCTGTGACATAGCAGCCAATAGGGAAACCAGGATTACAGAACTTCTGTCCATCTTCAACATCATAGCACCAGGTGACCGGCATGTTATCCACAATCCTACACACACACAAACACAAACACACACACACACAAACAATCAAACACACACACCACAACAAACGCATGTGATGATCACTAATGGACACATTAGCTGTATGCTTCACAGAGTATTCAGAATCAGACCCCACAACATATAACATGCGTTATTGTGTTGACAGCTGACATTAGATGTCTGGTCAGATTCAGTCTTGTTGACTTGTTCTTTGAACGCATAGTGTGGACTTCATTATTAATATTTGGAATCAGTATGATGCTATCTCAATCTTCAGGTACCAGACCAAGGGCTGCAGTTTGAGGGAAGAATTCTGTTGTATTCTGGTTCTTATTAATGTTTTTTTGTGTGAGTATATTCTTGTGTTGTAGTGTGGCATGCAGGCGTTTTCCTTCGCTTTCTGATGTGTGTGTATGCCAGTGAATTATACATACCAGTGGTGCTGGTAGTTGAGTAACATGCCCTTCTTGAGGAAGTCCAGTTTGGCTTTGTCTGATAGGTTGGTTGTGTCGTAGGTTTTGGTGCACACCTTCTGACACACTGCAGGTTTCTTAAACTCAAACTGACACAAAGGACACACCGTGGGCTTTATGTTTACCATCATTGATATTAAGGATGCACTTTAAGTTTTTATAATAAAACATTTAAGTTCGATTTGACATAAAAAATTAAGATGGAGAAACCATATCAAATCAAAAACCTTTCTTTGCACCTTTCCTGATGGCATATCAAAACTTTTTTTATTCAACAGCTAGCTCACATGTCTGTTTTGTGCATGCAAATATAGCCACTAAAATATCATCATTGATTCCACCTCAACCCTTGTACCTTGTATGGCGAGGGTTCGATTCTCTCTCCAAAAAGAACCTGGCCCAAATTCTCTGATGGACGTTTCATTGTTTCCATTGAGCAGAAGTCAAACCTGCACAACAAAGAAGAGACTGTTCAGAGAAGTTTTAACTGCACCACACCTTTAATACCCATTACACACTGTACTCAGCTGCTTACTATCTGGGCCTGGATCTATCTGGTCTCACCTCTTTATATTTACTCCAGCAGATGGAAACTTACAATGTAACATGAAAAACGTACATAAAATAATGAATAAATCGAAAACATATTTTGGGGTAAAACAACAATTACCCTG